GACCTTCAAAAAAAAAGTGTGACCATAGGATCAGATCTTCACATGAACAAGAGACTCACTAAGCATAGGTAATTAATGTAAAATAAAGTGCTAGAAATGAGACAAATCTGAGTGTATATTATCTGCATAGTGATTGATTTCCAGTAGTCATTTTAAAGTAGAAAAAAATGTATTGGGGTCTTTTCCCTGAAGAGTATTACATTTTGATTTGGATTTTTATTTCTGTTTTTCTCTTCTTAGTATTTCCTTTGCGTCCCTCTCTCCTTCCTTCCTTCTTCTAGCTTAAATTTCAATTGACTTTGATTGCTTTAAAGTTTTCAAATCACCACTAGTAACATTCCCTTTTCCACAGTTACCCATAAGCCAGATGATAACCATAGGTGAGAGATCCAAGATGGAATTTGTTGCAGGACTTCCACAATTCCCAGGAAGAACTTTCATTGTTTTGCTCCTATTCAATGTAAGGGAATGAAGGTTATAATCTTTACGGGTATGATCTTGAGCCTTATATCTTTGTATTTCTTCAATCATTTTTGAAATTTGGAACTGAATACTGTTAGTGTTAGATCATGTGTAACGCACCTGGCCTGAGCATGACTAACACTTCTGGAGTACTTGGTCGGTGTTTGGGAACATCTGCATTAAAGCTCAGGTGCCCCAGGCAGCCACTGTCTGAGGAGTAGAGAGGAGGTAAGCCTAGTTGATGAGATCTGGTTAAATTGATCACTTTAAAATCAGATTCTCTTCCTACAATATCAATATAGCTAACATTTATTAAGCACAAATGCTATTCTTATTCTGAATAATTTACATGCATTTCTTAACTCAGGGCTTCCCAGGTGGTTCGGCGGTAAAGAATCCGCCTGCTTATGCAGGAGATACAGGTTTAACCCCTGGGTGAGGAAGACCCCCTGGAGGAGGAAAGAGCAACCCACTCCAGTATTCCTGCCTGGAGAATTTCATGGGCAGAGGAGGCTGGTGGGCTACAGTTCATGGGGTCTCAAAAGAGTTGGACATGACTTAGTGACTAAGCAACAATTACTTCACTCAGTATCATAACTACAAAAACTAGACACTTTCATTTCCGCTTATTTTGTAATGACCCTGAGTAACTTGCCTGAGGTTATAAGCAAGGAAGTGGTGAAGTATTTAATGCCAAGCCCAGTACTGGCATTTCTTCATAGAGAGCTTTAAAAGAGGTTTATACAGGGTACAATGAAGGGAAGAAAAGAGAGTGCATGGAAGTTTAAAATGTCAAATGAATTAACTAAATGCTAATCAAAGAACTCAAATATAATTGAAGCACTGATGAAAGGCTAAAAACTCTGAAGTTACTGAAGAGGTGATTACTCCTGTTCCTAAAAGAGTGTTAGGACTGATTTGCAGACTTATGTGGCTGCAATTGATTCTGAAGGGGAATAAAACCTGCCAGGCCCCAAAGTGTCTCTTTGGCTTGAGGATTATCTGGGGTTGAATGTTTTCAATAAGAGACAAAGACTCAGGAAGTCTTTTTTTTTTTTTTAACCTCCCCCAGACTGATCTGCAGAGAACACGGGCTACTGTGGCAGGGAATGCACCAGGGCCTGGAGACCAGAATCCACTCTGTGTTCCATTGTCTCTGTGGCATAGCAAACATTCCTTTACAAAATATGTGATTTTGCATCTCCATGTGAATCCTCTTCCTCCCCTTTAAAACCCCAAGCCCCTGCCTCCTTCTCCTTCTCTCAGGGGGCATGAAAGCGGAAGTGAAAGTTAGTCACTCAGTCCTGTTGGGCTCTTTGCGTCCACATGGACTGTAGCCTACCAGGGTCCTCTGTCCATGGGATTATCCAGGCAAGAGTGCTGGAGTGGGTGGCCATTTCCTTCTCCAGGGGATCCTCCTGACCCAGGGAATGAACCTGGGTCTCCTGCATTGCAGGCAGATTCTTTATTGTCTGACCCATTAGGTGGCATGCAAGCATCAATTATCTAGCTTGTTCTTGCACCTCCTCGTCTTATGGAGACCCTGTATGTCATTAAATTTGGGTTTTCCCCTGTTCATCTGTCTCATGTTGATTTAATTCTTAGATGAGTCAGAAGAACCTGCTTTTCTTCCCCTAAAATTCCAAGTGCAATAACAATATTGTAATTAGTACAAATGTTCTATGACTGATCTAGTTTTCAGTTGTGGTACTTATATTTCACAGGCGTATACTTTTAAAATTATTTTCTGAGCTCTTTAGTCACATTTAAGATGCCATTATCAAATATTCACAATTGTGAAATATAGCTTTTTCTAATTTTTACTATTATAAAATGTATCTCAACTATTTCACTTAAAAAGTAGAATATAGAAGAAAAAACATTGGATGGAAAACCAAAATACTTTGCATTTCCAGTATTATGACTTTCAGATTATTGAAACCTCTCTTGACCTGTTTTCTTACATACAAACTGGTGGAATTGGGCCAGCTGGATGTATGCTGTCTCCAGAATGACAATTCCACAGTGTTATTACTGAAACCTTATTCAGAAGAGCTATTAGTGAACTAATAAGACAAACAAATGTGTGATTGTTTTAAGTTACAAAACTTTATTTTTTCATGAAATTATGCACATTTGGCTTGTTATTTTTTCACTGATGGAAATTTAAATCAGCTTATACCTTCATATGTCCGCAAACATAATTTATTTTTTAATCTCTTCATAATTTTTGAATTTGCAAATCATGAATAATTTAGACATATAGGAAACCATAGAATAAAAAGAACAGACACCTCTATTGATTATATGAGATTATTTCAATATTCAAGAATAATTTAAAATCTTTCTCTGTATATATATCAGTTACTAATCAATTTTGTTATCTCTTATTATCTTTATTAAAATAGATAATTATATTATTGTCCTGAAGAGATCACTTAACAGTGGAAAGCTGACTCCGTGAGCTCTTTAACTTTCTTTTTTTTTTTAATTCAGGGTAATTTAGGGCTGCCTACTTGTATTTGATTCTTGGGTATATTTTGATAAGTGTTATCATAGTTATTGACAGTAATCTCTAATTAATTATTATATTATACTTACATGGACTTTGATAATTGGGCAGATCTCAGTATTTCACATATAAACCTTCAGTTTATATTCTTTATATGCTCAGTATTTAACATATAAACTTTCAGTTATCCTTTATATGTGCTTTGTCTCCTTTCTATAAGAAGATCATAATAGCAACAGATTTCTTTGTGAAGATATTTCAGATTCTCTTCACTAGACCTATTTTAATGGACCTCAAGATTACCCATACTCTTCTCTTGCTATTTTTCTTCAAAATCTAATTAATTTTAAAATTGTTGCCACTATAATCAAAGTGCGGCTAGCTCCTGAAAGGACACAGTCATTCTAAAAGTATCACTTCTCTGTGCCCTCTTTCCCTTTCTCTGCCTTCCTGGTTCTTTTGTTCTTCAGGGGCCTGAAATGACACAATTCAGGGGCCATAGATTATGAAGATAACATTCAGCAATTAATTTCCATTCTCAATTCCCACCTTCTATTCTTTTAATCACTTTATTTGTTCTTATTTTCTCTTTTTAATGACAGCCTTTAAATATTTTAACTTTTGAAACAGCACCATTGTATATTAACAGTTGATCTTGGTCGATTTGGTATTCACTAAGAACCTCAACTAACAGATATTATGTCCATGTCTGGCCAGTGATTCTGTGGCTAGCCCACTGATTTACTGGTCAATCTTTTAGCAAACTTATTAGACTGCCAGCATTACTAAACTCTTGCTCTGAGCCAAGCAGTTTGCAGAAGTTTTGCAGATATTATTGCTAATTTACAATGTAATATAGCAAATTAGCATCATCTCTAAAGCTGAGAGGGTCTTGGTAATTCACCAGGGTCACAAACTTTATTAAAGGACAGTTTCTGAATGTGGGACTGAAGAAGTCTAGTGTCCACCTAAGTTAAGCTACTAAACAGCTCTGAGTAAAAAGTATGTGGTTCCTTAAGGTGCTGGTCCCTATTTCCTTGATAGTGTGTAAATACATCATAGGCAAGAAAATAAAAAATCCCCTGTAACAAAGAGACAGTGATTAATTTGCTTCATTACAGAATAAAAAGGTCCTCTATCAAATATGTAGTAATTTATTACTCAATTAATCTAACAACTTCTTGAGGTGTTTTAGCAAACCTCCTCTAAGTGAATCTTGTTTTTAATTTTTTGCTAAATATGAGCCATGGGGAAATGATAATAATGTCCATCACTGGGCATTGCCAAAGTTCCTAAAACTTACAAAGATGAGGCATGACATTGTAAGAAGTCAGAAATGAGTGAAAAAATTATCATGATTATCATCCCAGTTGTACTATTTTGTCAAATATGCTTTGGATTATGCAATTCAACATTAGTTTCATTATCCATGAAATGGAGTGAATCACTTTTGCCAAGCAAGCTATGTAAAGGATTGAATCAGACAATGCATGTAAAAATGTCCTATATATATATATAGTTAAAGACATCCAACTTGACAGAACTGTAAGTCTTGACAAAGTGGCCGTAGCAGTGAGACCTGTTATTTTTCATCTAATTTGGGGAAAGATATACTAATCTGAATATGCATTTTATAAATCACAGTTACTACTGCAGCAAACATAGGTGTCAGGCTTATAACCCATCTGCTTCTCTTTCTTTAAAATAGCACCAGATTTCATTTCTTTTGTTGGAATAATCATATTAATGCATTTATAAGAATTTGAGTTATATTGTTTTCCTCTTAATCTATAGACCGGTTGAGTTATTAAAGAATGTAGCTGTCACATTAAATATTATTTTATTTGAAAAAAATAATCTACCTAAATACTTTATACGCTGAAAGCTTCTTTTCATCTTAAAAGATCTACAGTAAGATGGTTTCCATAATGGATGTCACCATACCTAAGAAGTTTTACCATCACCTGATTTTTAATTTGACTCTGATTGAAATTGTTCTAAGTGGGAATGTGCTAATTTGGCCAACGGATGGTAGCCATTGGTTAAATATTAAGATGATTTTAGAAGAGCTGAATCAAAGAAATCACAATGTGACTGTACTAGCTTCATCAGCGACTCTATTCATCAACTCCAATTCTGACTCTCCTGTGAATTTTGAGGTGATACCTGTTTCCTACAAGAAGAGCAATATAGATTCCTTAATTGAACATATGATAATGCTGTGGATAGACCACAGACCGACTCCTCTCACACTCTGGGCTTTCTACAAAGAACTAGGAAAACTCCTAGATACTTTCTTCCGAATTAATATACAAATCTGTGATGGAGTATTAAACAACCCCAAGTTAATGGCAAGACTTCGGAAAAGTCGTTTTGATGTGTTGCTGGCCGACCCAGTAACAATCTGCGGAGATCTGGTTGCTCTGAAATTAGGGATTCCATTTATGTACACCCTGAGGTTCTCCCCAGCATCAACAGTGGAGAGACACTGCGGAAAAATTCCAGCACCTGTGTCCTATGTACCCGCAGCCCTTTCCGAGCTCACGGACCAGATGACCTTCGGTGAAAGGCTTAAAAATACCATATCTTATCCCCTGCAAGACTATATATTTCAATCCTACTGGGGTGAGTGGAATTCATACTACAGCAAAGTCCTAGGTAAGTCTCTAAAATGTTCTCTTACTAATGGTTCCAGATATCTTATTTATTCTTATTGATCCAGCAAAAGGTTTCCATACCACTGCAAGTGCCAAGCTGAAGTAAATATGTGTGGGCTAAGTCAACGGTCATATCTGACTGTTTGTTGCCCCATGGACTGGAGCCCTCCAGGCTCCTCTGTCCCTGGGATTCTCCAGGCAAGAATACTGGAGTGTATTGCCATTCCCTCCTCCAGGGGATGCTCCCCACCCAGGGATCAAACCCTTGTCTATTATGTCTCCTACACTGGCAGCAGGTTCTTTACCACTACTTATTATATATTATATATGTGTACACAATTGAATGTTATTTTTGGAAAATTCCTAAACAATGGAATGGTGGTATTAATATGCATGATGTTGTCTCAAGCAAATAATCTTGTGCCTGTTTAGGTAATAGCTTTTCAATGTGCAAAGCAACCTTCAAATATAAATGAAAACATCTTGAAATATAAATGAAAATATAAATACATTCACGAGGATAAATTCAGTTCAGTTCATTTGCTCAGTCATGCCCGACTCTTCGTGATCCCATGAATCACAGCACACCAGGCCTCCCTGTCCATCACCAACTCCTGGAGCTTACTCAAACTCATGTCCACCGAGTCAGTGATGCCATCCAACCATCTCATCCTCTGTCATCCCCTTCTTAAACTGTCAAGGCCAGTTATGGTTTATTGTTTGTATTACTTCTTTTTCTGATCTTCATGAGTCTTCTTTTCTTTTTCTATTTTATTCTTTCCTGAATGCTTTTTTCCTCTAGATTTGTTAGTAGTAGCAGGGATACTAATTAACAGCAATTAAGTGATGCTACCAATGGTACTTTCTTACAAAGGTAATATGCAAGATATTATTCTTTTACTCTAGAAAGATTGAGGGCATGAGGAGAAGGGGGCAGCAGAGGATGAAGTTGTTGGATGGCATCATTGACCCAATGGACATAAGTTTGAGTAATCTCCAGGAGATACAGGATAGGGAGGCCAGGTGTGCTGCAGTCCATGGGGTCGCAAAGAGTCAGACACGACAGCATCTGAACAATAGCAGCAATGCTACATCAATTATGAGGGACTACATTTATATTGAATATTATTTATAACAAACTACACAAAACTGTGCAATGACAATGTCCTGATTATACTATCATGGGACTATGTAAATAGAACATAGTAAGTATTTGTAGAAAATAAACACCTCTGCGCTATACAAAATCTCCTTTCTCAAATGGTGTTGTGACAGATTATGTAACGTGTGTAAAGAATGATACAGAATGTTCACAACTTCTCATTTTCACAGGGCAATGATCTAGCTGCAGACTTATTTAAGAAATGGAATATCTTATTTATGTAAATCCTTAATGCTCCTCATGTTACTCAATGTACTTGGACAACAATAACTACCTTGAATATTTTATTTCAAATAGAAGTGTATTTTCAAGAAGAACTGCTAAAATCCAGTTTGTCCTCTGTTTGCAATTACATTCATCAAGTATTAGAGACACCTGTGAACTGTAACCTGATCCTGAAACAGATCAGTTTATACATTTGATATTATTTTCTTTGAACACAAGAGGTTTCATAACGTCATGTGCTGTGAAGTGTCCATTTCAATGTCCGTTCTTCAGTTCTGTGGGAAAGGCTAGAAAAATAAAATGTGAAAAACAAACAAGCAATAACAAAACCCCTCAACTATCTACTCTGAAAGAGATAGAAGTAAGTAAATGGGCTTCCCTGGTGGCTAAATGGTAAAGAATCTGCCTACAATGAATGAGACCCCGGTTTGATCCCTGGATCAGGAAGATCCCCCCAGAGAAAGGAATTGGCTACCCACTCCAGTATTCTTGCCTGCAGAATCCCATGGACAGAGGAGCCTGGTGGGCTATAGTCCTTGGTATCGCAGAGTCAGACATGACTGAGCGACTAACACTCATTCATCAAGGAAATATCTAATTGCACTGGTTAAAAACTCTGCTTTATTTGTCAGTGAGGATATCTTTTATGAATGAAGTAAATTAAAATGATCATCAATTCTATTTTAAATATGTTTCTAACTCCAAATAGGACAGGCCTATCTGGGAATATAGGCAGATCATTTTTTATATTCAGGAGTGAGTCTATAAATAAATCTTGTCCTGGCCAATTGTTCTGCAAGGTATCTTCAAACTACACTGAGTCTGATTTCTCTCCCAACCTCAGAGAGATTTGCTGTACATGCAGACCATAGGTAGTTCTCAAGTGGGCAGGACTAGGTACTAGCCTTTGCTATAGCCACAGGAAGGCCAAGGACTTGAATGTTGTCATGGAAATAGTTAAATTGGTAAGGAAATTGAATGGTCCCATTTCGCCTCTGTCTTTTGGTTTCCTGGTCTGCCTCTATTTTTCCCAGCACTCTGCAGACATTAGAGAGGAAAGACCAGTACTAATCTATGTACCACTCAGCCAGTATAGCCTGTGTTGACAAAAAGAAAAAAAATGTGCCCAATGTGAGAGTTGCAAGTTAAGTTTCATTGGGGGCAATATGAGGACTGCAGCCTAGGAGACAGCCCCTCAGGTAGCTCTGAGAGACTGTTGCAAAGAGGTAAGGGGGGAAGGTCAGTATATATGTGATTTTGGTAAAGGGGGAGGACATGCAATCAAGCGCATGCTTTTGGTAGAAAGTTTCTGCTGGTCTCATGAAGCTTCTGCTAGTCATGAGAAGCAATTGGCACCACGAAGAAGGATTTTAGTGCTTTTCTAGATAGAAGGAGATATAAGAATTGGGCTTATAAAATCAACTCCTGAGAAAATCTAACTATCTGAGGACGTGTCCTGCCAGTTTCCTGGAGCACAGAACACGTTATTTCTATTCTCCACCCTGACTCCTTCGGGGGGTATTGGAGATCAGCAGCTTCAGCAGGACATGATTCCTTGTAGAGGTAGGTGGCAAGCGTCCGTGGCAAGTGCCAATTTGTGGCTGACACCTGCTTTTACCTGTAAGTACCATGTAGGTTCCATGTTGGTCCCTCTTTCCCTGCTGCTAAATTTTAGATGTATTCCCTATTACTAACCCTATCTTTTTCCAGGCCATTAAAAAAAAAACACATAAAATAATTGAGCCTCATAAAATTTCCCCTCTAGCAAACTTGCCTGAAGCTGTACTAAATTACTCAGTACATTTTTTGCATTTGATTTCTGGCTGCCTTTTTTTCCCCCCATTTATTTTTATTAGTTGGAGGCTAATTACTTTACAATATTTTAGTGGTTTTTGTCATACATTGACATGAATCAGCCATGGATTTACATGTATTCCCCATCTCGATCCCCCCTCCCAACTCCCTCTCCAACTGAGGCCTGGCCTGAGGTTTTTTTGTTTGTCTGTTTTTCTGTATCCCACTCCCATTCTAATCACTATTACCAACATCTCTTTTTCCTGGAAAATGTGGATCTCTGTTAATCTGCTCTCACATAGGCTTTTAATTCCTTCTCACACATGGCTTTCCTATGGTTAGTGCTGTGAGCTTTTTAAGATTCTGTGTAACCTTTCTTGCAAGTAAAACCTAAGTCATAAATTGTACAGTTCATTGCAATTTCATAGTATAAACCCATGCAATAAGAACCCAAACCAAGAAGCAAAACATTATTACACCTGTAANTTAAGATTCTGTGTAACCTTTCTTGCAAGTAAAACCTAAGTCATAAATTGTACAGTTCATTGCAATTTCATAGTATAAACCCATGCAATAAGAACCCAAACCAAGAAGCAAAACATTATTACACCTGTAATTCCCTAAACTTCCTCATATCAGTCCTGACTACACCCATCTGAAGATAACAGCTTTTTTGACTTCTAACACCACAGATTAAATTTGACCAATTTTAAACTGTATAAATGAACCACACATTATGGCCCTTTTGTATTTTGCTCCTTTTATTTAACAGTATGCTTTTTATATTTGTCCAAGTTGTCACACGTAGATGTAGTGTGTTCGTTCTCATAGCTATACAGAATCTTTTGAATTAATGTAAATTTTACTTATCCATTCTACCTCCAGTGGTCATGTTGGCTGTCTTGGTTTGGGCTATGTATGATAAACACTGCTACAAACACTCTTCTACATGTCTTTTGGTGAATACAAGTATGTTGTACTACAAGGTGTATATATAAGAAAGGAATTGCCGAGTCATAGGGTATGAATCTGCTTAGCTTTAGAAAATACTGCTAATTTTCAAGTTCTTAGACCAATTAATAATCTCATCAGCCATTTACTAGTATTCCAATTGTTCTCCATTTTCACTTGGCATTTCTCTTCATTCTTTTACTTTAATTGTAACCATAATGAAGTGCAGTGCTGTCTCATTATTATCTTTTATTAATAAATAATTTGCATGTGTCTGTTTGAAGTACGTAAAGCACATAGTGATTTGCATATCAAATGTATATACCTTTGTGACCAACACATCAATCAATCTCTAAGATCCTTTTCCAACATAGCTGCTCTCCAGTCCTTTTCAGACACTTATCAGACTAAATAACTCCTACCACTTAGCTCATTCTTCTTATGTATTTCCTCTGTGGCCCTGTTTCTCTTTCTGCATTGTCAGTCATCCCCATGTAGTGGTCGGAAAGGCTTGTCAGTTGTCATCAGCACTCACAGTAAATGAGTAAGGGGTCGATGAGACAGAATAATGTTAGATCTCCGGCTCCACTGATAAGGACCAAACACCCACAGCAGAGGAACTTGTGATCCCTACCTTCCCCAAATTCCATCACCCCTGTGGATACCAAAGACCACGCCTGTATGTGACTCGGGAGATGACAGACCCAACAGAAGCACGCACTCTCCTGGGGCCTCAGGCAGCGATACCAGGGGCACTAGTGGTAGCAGGGCACCGAGGACTCCAAAGCAGTGACAGGCCAGCATAGGCGAACACCTCTGACAGCTAGTGGAGGGTGGAAAGTGCCTACTCTCAAACAGAACTAGAGAGA